AGGTTAAAATCATTTTCTCGCAACATCATATGATACGAATAAAAATCCATACATGATACTTTTTTGTTCGCAGTAGGCTCCTTTGTGACCGGGTTAATAAGTGGAATTTGAAAATGATAACCCTCTTGTCCTTTGAAATAAATCAATGGGTATTGCAGAGCAGAGGAACTTGTGTGTATCGGCTACCCGTTGCAACATATCATCACGTGCTCGCAAGATAATGTCTCGTGAAGAAAATTGATCAACCCTAATTACGGCTGCTATTTCGTTTATCAAAGGTACATTGTAGCGCCTTTCATGCTCTCTTCGAGGGGTCCGATCTGCGTGAATGACTACTTTATAATCCTCTTCAGGTAGGTATTTCTAAAGCAGTTTTAAATGTTTTGACTAAAATGTTACATTAATGCAAGAATCTTTGAATATTGAACGCTGTGTCTCACTCAACTCCCTGGATAACTTGGCAACGACGGTCTACCTCAATTTCTTCGTGACCCATAAAATATACTTGTAAAAATTTATGCTGTTCGTTTTCAGCTGGAAAAAGTGAACCTATTCTATGATAAATTTGCCCTTGCACCGTAAATGTAGGCGAAAATCCCGGCATTATTATTTCCCGGTCAACTCCGAAGGACGTCATTTGAAAGCATGAGTTATATTTCCGGATCCTGTTTAAAAAGCGCCGTCACTCATTCTTCATAGGTTCTTCTGGTTCCCCAAGTAACGGAAGAGACACTTTGCCATTGTAACAGCACATGCCTGCGATCTAATCTTTCCATTTTAAAGCGCTGCAAAATCGACACGCCTTGTCCATCAGTCCGATTACAACTAACCTGTGATTTTTATAATCAATCAACGGATCATAATTGAATGCTGCGTCATTAAAAACCGACCAATTGTTTCTTTGAAAATTTTGTCGACGTTCAGCTTGGAGCTGTGCATTTGCATCTCTTCGCGCCTGTGTCTGTTCTGGTGTTTCAGATGCCCTTATAGTAGATGTACGTTCAGCTTGCTCAATGAGTCTGTGTTGAGTTTCATCAGGTGTTTCCGCGGCTCTTAAGGCGGCCTGACGTTCCGCTTGTTCGAATAGCCTTTGCTGACTTTGAGCAGGTGTTTCAATAGCTCTTAAAGTAGCTTGACGCTCTGCCTGTTCAAGACGCCTTTGCTGACTTTGATCAGGTGATTCAGTAGCTCCTAAAGTAGCTTGACGTTCTGCCTGTTCAAGGCGCCTTCGCTGACTTTGAGAAGGTGTTTCAGAAGCTCTTAAAGTAGCTTGACGCTCTGGCTGTTCAAGACGCCTTTGCTGACGTTAAGAAGGTGTCTCAGATGCTCTAAAAGCAGCCTGACGCTCTGCTTGTTCTTGCCTTCTCAGTTCAGTATCTTCTAAAGATTCTAGCAATCGAGCTAATCTTTTCGCTTGTCTTTGCGAAGATACTCTTGAAAGGCTGGAATTACGTTTGCGAGGCATTATGAAGTAACAAAAAACCTATTATAAATCCAAAATATCTAAAAGGAATAAATATTCCTCTTAAATATTTTTTAAAACCAAAACAACAAAACCAATTCAAGACACAACACGAATCCGAAAACGATAGCCAAAAAAAATCGAATCAACTTAAATCAAATCACAAAACAAATCGCAGAAAACCGAAATCGAAAGCAGTATAGTCAATATAAATATAACCAACGAAAAAAGAAGTAAGTGTATAGGTACCGTATACACTATCTATACTATTAATATTCCTTTGAAATATTGTTAAACAACCTAAAACAACGAAAACCAATTCACGATTCTAAATAAACAAAATCCAAAATAAAAGCCAGAGTAAAATATGTATAAAGGAATACCAACCAAATCAACAAAACCGATCCAAGCAAATACACAAATCCGAAAATGAAAGCCAATATAAATCCATTCAACCTTAACCAAATCACAAAGCAAATAATAAACAACCAAATCGAAAGCGGGTAGTCGAATAAGTTACGAAATAGAAACAATTTAAGCGTAAAGGTACTGTATGCACTATAAGTTGACGCGCGGCTCAACGGCGGGAGTTAAGTACATGTCAGGAAACATTTCGTTACCGCTTTTTAAAAAAACTAGTAACGACATCTAGCTGATCAATTTAAACTATGTATACGTTAGTTAATAAGAACTCTCAAAAAATATTTTTCTTATAATTTTGCACAATTTTTCTTATTGTAATACCGATTAATTCATAACCATATATAAGAACTGTATTCAGTTCCGTTCAATAAATATTACTAAGGCTTATTGACAAGGCTTACTAAGAACTGTTTCTACCACAGTTAAGTAATAGTTAAGGGTGAAAGTGTGACAGGTGGTGAGAGTATTTCTGATCCATACTTATAATCATCAACGGATTACTTAATATCGTCTGCGAGGTTATCGCCTATTCTGTGAATTACAATGCACCAAAACATTTAAAGAAAATAAGGTGGTGAATTTTATGTTTTTTATTGCTCTCTTCCCGGTCCTGCGTGGAAAAATACAGATACATACATTTTTAATCTTAATTTTAGTAAAAAGACATAATAATCCAGATATTCTGACCTTCTGTGTTCGTCCATCGTACCGTCGTCCGTCTTGCAGAATCACGGTGGCACCACCTAGCTGAATTTAATTTTGTAACATATTCGATTTTCCCATGAGAATGAGAAGTTTTTCAGCCTATGTCACTCTATAGCCACCGAACTATCCCCATACCAAAATTCATGCCATGCCGACGCTCTGTTGCGACGTGAAAGAAGGACAAACTTTTGCAACATATTCTATTTTCCCACGGGAATGAGGCTGTAGAGTGACATAGGCTATTTTTTTTCCGTGGAAAAACATCTCATTCCCATTCCCGTGGGAAATATTCTATTTTGTCACTTCTGGGGAATATTCTATGTTGGGATTGTATGGGAAATATTCTGTGTTGATCACTCTACAGCCACCGAACTATCCCCATACAAAAAATCATGCCATGCCGACGCTCTGTTGCGACGTGAAAGAAGGACAAACAAACAAACACACTTTCGCATTTATAATATTAGTATGGATACAACATTTTGTCTTTAATATAAACAACCTAAAACTGATGTGTGTAACAAATGTGATTCTAATACACACACTGAAAAGCATATTGATAACTACAAAAGAGCATTTGAGTTACAAAAACAAGAAAGAGACATGTGTATTAGTGGAAAAAATATATCAGTTTTGACATACAACAAACTCAGCCTCTACTTAAAATTCCCATATCAAAAGCATTTCATTTAAGGCAAATATGGTTTTACAATAAATGCATTCACATAATTAGTAGAGATGGCCACAGGTCTTATTTTTGCACTTACACAGAAGACTGTGGTAAAAAAAGGAAGTGTAGAAGTTTTTATTCACACATTTTTAGATGGTGACAGAGATTTTGGCCGCATAGAAAAACTTTTAAGAAGAAAAGAAAAAATATTTACTCCTAATAGTTACAGAAATATAATTAGAATGGCATCAAAAAAAATTCAGTAATTGAAGATACAAATCATCAATATTAGAATTTAAACAATTTAAAAGACGATTTAGGGATAGTAATACCTAACACAAATACATAAAACAAAAAAAAAACAACTTTAAAATTAATGTCAAGTGGATTCACATTGAAGACTTTGGCAGATATTTTTATAAGACAAACTATGACCCCTACATCACTGACCTCTAAGTATACATAGAGGTCAGTGCTCCTACACACTAGACGTGGGTCGTTACGTCATTTTCAAGAAACGTAACGAAACCAGTGACTTGATCGGCGTCACCTGTTTCAAAACTAGTGATTTTTGTAACTGGCTATTTTATTCGGCTACTGTGATTGTTTGCATAAATATCACCACCAACTATACAGTTACACACGAAACGAAAATAAATTTAATCACAATCTGTGTTTGTAGCTATACAGTAACTGTATACTGTTAAATCAATAAATTAACTTCCCTTCATACTTTATTCAGGTTTAGGCCTGACTGCATTAAATGTATTTATGATTGATTTGCGTTTACTATGACACTAATATTTTCATAAAATTATTAATTCAGGCATATTTACAAGTCATTTTGATTGTATATACAATGATTATTGTTATTTACAGTTTATTTACACCTTTTTCAACGTTTTTACTGTCATTTGTTTTTGCACTTTTATTTACACTGTACAATTAATTTGTTTGTTTGTTTGGGTATTTACACACAGTTTTTAAGTTTTATGTTATAATCATTTAAATTTTTAAATTTTTTATACAAATTTTTTAGTTTTATTTTAATTTTATGAATAAACGAGTTCATGACTCCGTCAAAAATATCTTAAAAATTATTTTAGTTAAATTCAATGTGACTCACTTCCCGGAATCGCAAACCGTTGAAAATATTTACAAACAGAGATTACTGGGTAATTATTTCATTTGGTGTAAATCGGATGTCCGGGTGAATTTCCCCCTTAAAACTAAGTTGGATTTATAACGTGCCATACTATTATATATAGTACTGAATGTACAGTACAAGGAGTACTCATACATTTTGGGTATTTTATAATTAATCTTGTATTTTTTTGTCATTAAAGACTCAAAACGTCACTACCATGTGTGTCCCATATAACATTTTCGTCGTTATTTCAGCAAAAATGTCATATTAAAAGTATGTTTATAAGCCAACGTCACTATTTATGTAAAGCTTAATAATCATTACTAATATCTGGGATTTAACAAATGAAATCAAATTGAAAGTGATAGAAAAACAACATCGTAAATATTGTCCCAAGCGAAAACAGTCATTCCCATGTCAGTTCATGTCACGACGTGTAGTACATCACTCAACAGCTGTATAAAATTTCTGCAACTGCCCCGCGCTCCTCCCAGTCACCACGCAGCCGTCAACGAAAACGCACGTCGCACCTCCTGACTGATTTCAAAAAAAGTAAAGAAAAAGAGTGTTACCGTGGTTTTTGTCAGAAAAAATTGTCTTTATTGTGGGTCTACTTCCTCGGTAAGTACACAAAATATTAGAATAGGTTTTATTTTCCCTAATTATTTAACCATTTTGTTATAACGTAAGCAATAGAACATATTCCGGAACATTAACCCTACAATGTTATGCGAATAATATTTGATTTTGTCATTACCGTGTTTGTCATTAACATGTATTACCGTGATTGTTTTAAGCCACGGTAATGACAACGATAACATGATAATGACTTACATATAATACATAAGTAAATATTAACAGTTTTTAGCTAGTACCGATTGTAATTGGTATATAAATAAGCATTGTGAATTATATACGTCAATTTTGCTTGTTCTAGACAAAAAAGTAAACATGCCACGACGTAAAAAGCCAGTAAATAGAGAAGATATGTTAAGAAAAAAACGATTAGCGGAACAAAAAAGGCGCAACAAAATAAAGTCTAACCCTGAGCTATACAAAGAATACTTAGAAAAAGAAAAAGCTCGCTATATCAAAAGAAAGGATACTAAAAAAATTGTACCAATTAAAGAATTAAAGCCAAGGGAACAGAGGGCACAGAGAAAAAAATGGAAGATAAACCAACAGAATTTAAGAAGAAAGAAAAAAGAACTTAAAATGTTACAAGAAAAATATACGCCACCTGAATCAGATTCTGAAGATTTCCTGGAACGAAATTTTGAATTACAACAAGAACATCAAGATGCAATAAAAAAAGCTTCTACTTTTGCAAGATTAGTTACCGAGAATTATGCGTCACATGATCCATGGATTAATCCCAGACCTGGACCGTCTGATCAATCTGAGTTAATCATAGGCAATAAAACACCAGACAATCGGAGACCAGTTACAAAAAATTGCACATCAAATTCTGCTCAACCTATTTGTCACACTCCTAAGGATAGTCCCTCTTCAGCTACGCGTAGAGTTCGCTATAGAATGCTCAAAAAATGCAAATACTATCAAAAACGTTTGTCGGAGCTAGAAAAGCAAAATGCAGCGTTTCGCAAACGCGTTTTTCGCATGAGACAAACTATTACTAAGCTAAAGTCTTGTAACAGCCCAGGAACAAAAGCCGGAATGATAATGGCCGACCCTACCAAAAAAGAAGATGTTAAAAAAGCCATAATATTTGGCGATATTTTAAAAAGTAACATCAATCTAGATTACGAGAACCAGAAAAAGGCTGAAAAACAAAAGCTCAAAGAGAATATAGAACCAGTACGTGAGAAACTGAAAAATTACAATTTACTTTAACAAGGAAATCTAATAGAAAAGAAAAAGAAAGCACAAAAAAAGAGCAAATTGATAGTGACATTTGATGTTTTTATGAAGATGATGATAATTCTAGAATGACGTCTGGTAAAAAAGACTGCATCACTTTAAACAAACAAAAGAAGCAGAAGAGGTTTCTTAAAGATAGTCTTTTGAACCTACACAAAAAGTTTTTGAAGAAATACGATTATAACGTCAGTTACTCATATTTTTGCAAAGCAAAGCCATTTTGGGTTATAGTTCCTACAGAAAAGGATAGAGAGACCTGCATGTGTAAAATACACGAAAATGTAGATTTGCTGGCGAAAGCTCTTCACAAAAACGAAATAATCGTCGAAAAATCTGCAAACGAAATCTTGTCTTCTAGTGTATGCAACATCTACAATATAAAATGTCTGGAAAATAAATGCAGAGTTTGCATTAATAAAGGCCTGACAGTCAGGGAGTTTAAAAATTCTATTGAGATTGAATATCAAATGTGGGGCTCGGGTTTGAAGGAAGTACGAACAAAGAATGGATTAAGAATAATAAAGATTACTGAGAAAAAACAGTTTAGAGGAAAACCAAGAGAAGTATTACTTCTTTTGTTAAAGCTTCTAATAAAGTTTTACGTTCACAATGCTAATATTGTGAACCAGTACGAATGCACAACGAAATTGAAGAGGGAACCTGAAAGCAACAGTGTTGTGATCCATATGGATTTTAGTGAAAATTATTCGATCAAATACAACACCGAGATTCAGTCTCTGCATTTTGGCGGAAGCCGCATGCAGATAAGTCTTCACACTAGCGTTATATACCTCAGTAGCTCTTCAACACCTATAAGCTTTTGCACATACAGCGATAGCGTGCGTCACGATGCAGCTGCTGTCTGGGGACATATAATTCCTATACTGAGGTATATCGAGAAAACGGCGCCATAAACTGAATCACTCCACTTCATGACCGACTCCACGTGTAGTCAATACCGGAATAAGACTATAAATTATATCATCACGAAATTGCACTGGTACTTACCAAAACTAAAAACTGTCACGTGGAATTACTCAGAAGCTGGCCACGGAAAGGGGGCACCAGATGGCGTCGGGGCTACCTTAAAAAGGACGGCTGATCGAATAGTCAGATGTGAGAAAGATATACCTGACATTAAAACATTTTCGGAAGAGATTAAAAAATCCGTAAAAAACGTAATTCTCGAATATGTATCCGAATATGATATAATCGAAAAAGAATACCTAATGCCTAAACTATTGTTGAAACCGTTCAAAGGCATGATGAATGTGCATCAGATTGTGTGGGACAAAAATAATAAAGACTTAATTGCTCTTCGACGCCAAAGCTGCATAACTGATTTGTGTAAAAATTATGCTATAGCTTGTCCCCACGATAAACACCTCGGGTTTTACAGTCATCCCACAGAAGAGTCGAATCAGACAAACTCTTCTAAAGAACTTGTGATTATTTCCAATGTTGTACTCGTGCCAAGTCGTGAAGAAAGATCTCGCAATAATTTCCAAAACCAGTTTGAAGAGCATTTGCTCCAAAATCAAAAAAGTGATGACGAATATGAAGGAGAGCGGGCATCGTGCCCGTCACTTGAAGTTGCTAAAATTCAAAGATCGGAAGCATTTTTAGCTCGTACGAACGCAGAGTTGCCAAGAGAGTTACAAGACATCAAAACTGCGAAATTTGAAGAACAAACGTTCTGCTTGTCTCAAGATGTTAGCATGATTATAGAAACGTCGGCAGTTACTGATATTAATTCAGATTTAGATATTACCCTAGAGCCATCCGAAATTGTGATGTTTGAGACGTCAACCCCATTTGAGGCTGCTCCAATTTATGCCGAAACTTTAATCGCTTTGCCGGGTGCTTCTACAGCAGATAATGAAGCTATCTCCGATCCAATGAATGTGTCATGCGTTAACCCGTTAGGTAGTGAATTTGACGAAGCATCTTCCAATATAACAGGATTAGAAAAGGCAAAACTAAAGGATCCATATGAGAATATACAAATAGGCTCGTGGGTTGTTACGTCGTACCAATGTCAGTTAAAGAAGAATACTGCCATAAAGTATTTTATTGGACAAGTGATAAATATTAATCATGATGACAACACTTTTACAGTAAAATATCTCAGAAGGATAAAAAACACCGTAAATGTTTTTTCTTGGCCGAACAAAGATGATGAAGACTGTGTCACTAAAAATGTTATTGTTAAAGTATTACAAGAACCCAATATAAATCGCAGAGGCCAGCTTATATTTGATGATATCGAAAATTTACTACCTGAGTAAAAATATTAAAATACGTAAATTTTTGCTAAACTAGATTATTTTTTTTGACATTTCGAGTTCGTAGTTACAATAATGTCTACTTAAAGTTTTTGATAATTTCACATATATTTTTTAGTTTTCATTTTTAATCAAGCTATTATATTATAAATTATAATCTAGTACACTATTGTTCTCTGAAAAGTTAATTGATCTCAATAACTAACCTATGAAAAATTATTAATATATCATTTGTTTTTATTTGCTAGGTGCAAATAAGGTCTAGGACCAATTACACTAAAAGAATAGTTGATCTCAGTAAACATATAAAAGTTGAATAGAAGTTTAAGTTTTATTTTCCATTTTTGTACGTATGTGATAAAAGGTAATAAATGTATCTAGTTTAAGTTATAATTATTACAGAACTGAGAAAGTTATTTTGTGAGATTATATCTTTACCAAAGAAATTTTTAATAAACATTTATTTCATTAACAATCTGTTTTATTTGATATTTTTAGTATATGTTTCAAGGGAAAAAGAACAGTACGAAGTATCATTTATTACTGCCGTGTTCAAACGTCATTACCGTGTGCACGAAGTGTCATTACCGTGAACAATCGTCACTACCGTACACACATAATGTCATCACCGTGACTCCTAAAATTTTAGGGGCCCATATCTCTACTAATTGAGGCCCTAGGAGAGGGCCTTCATTTTTTTAATAATTCACACATTAGAAACTTTCAATTTAAACTAATTTTGCGGTTTAAAATACATTTTTATTTTATTTTTCCCAATCTGTCCAATTTACGTCAAATGAAATAATTACCCTTACTCTATTTTATTGTCTATGTCTATAGTCTTACGCACAAACTAATAAGAGTACTAACGTAGTCTTACTTATGAAATTTAAACGTACAATAATACTTACGATTTACGTTACTTACGATGGTTTGTTTATTGTTCTATGCCACATGTGCGCTTTGCGCTCGAGCGACGGACAGTCGACTCCCGCAATAATCATGGTTAACACTTAACAGTAATCATAATCACGCATTTACAAAAATCACTACTTGTAACATGACTCGAAACTAGTGATTCGGTTACATGCCATGTAGCCAGTTACTGTATCTAGCGACGTGAAATAACGCCCACGTCTACTACACACCATATCTGGAAGTCTCCCTTGTAAAAAAATCTAATGGTATCCCAACAGTGTCCATTAGATGTAACATGAATCACAAGGGTAAAATTTCAAAATAAAAAATTGGTGGTATAAAAACACGAATTGAGTAGGAGTCTCACATAAATATTCTAAATTCTCATTAATTAATAAATAGTATGTAAGTTCATGCAAGTGGCATACCTATTTCTAAATAATAAAACTATTTCATATAAATAATGTTATTTTTTTACCACATAGATCCATTGTAAGTTCTTGTTAACTAAACTTAATATGGTTTATAGAAAACAAAGGTGTGTTATGTCCATATTTTCATAGTTTTTTTTTTTAATAAATTTGCATGGAATTACCTATTTTTAAATATTATATATAAAATAATTAATCTTATCTAAGTATTGCAACTAATATTGTATTTTAAAACTATATGCTTCAATTCCTAATTTCATTTGATTATTTATTATTTTAAAACCCTTATTAGTTGTTTAGAACTATTTGCTAGTTTATACCTTTGTCCATTTAACTCTTCAATTTTGTATTGGGTCGAGGAAAAATAATATTATTTTTATTTAATATTGTTTACCTACTTACACGAATGCATAAATTGTTATCAATTTCCATAAGTGTAAATTGATGGAGGAAGATGTTGGAATACAGGCTTTTGTTTCCTAAAAGTTAATTATCTTTAAAACAAACATTGATACAAAATAGGTGTGGTGAAAGATGCTTTTTACAGAAAATTGAATTTAAAGTTCTTGGTATTTTAAACTCTGAATGAGATTCAAGTTTTAATATTGATTGTTAAAACTTGAATCGCATTCAGAGTCTAAAAGAAGCCTGTCTCAGTAATTTATTGCTATTATAATGCACAAAATAATGTTTGATACTAACAAGATAATTGTACTAGATAGTACTAATATGTCATTAACTGAATATTTACCAGAATAAGGTAATAGCAGAGTAAGTTTCTTCTTTTTTATTAACATTTTATCCTTAAAATGTCTGCTGCAAAATTTTTGATGACGGTTTTGGTGTCCAATCTGTTCGTCCTGTAGCTACAATCCAATTCCGATGTAGTCTCAATTTGAACATTACTATTTATTTGTTGTTTAAAAGTAGGTAATGGTTAATTGGTAGTTTTTGATTACAACAAGATATTAATAAAAATGTAATTAATTAATTAAATAATGGAATTGGGACATGCTACATCTAAACACTAAAGATTATTTTTTATAAGTTACATGTAATAAAAGAATATCCTAAGTTCTGGTTTTCAAGGCACAATGAAAATCATGTTTCATTTAATCATGTAACTGACTTTGAAATAGTTCCTTATCAATTTTTACTTTTCTATTAATAAAAGGACCATCAGTAAATAATAAAACTTGAAAATTTTAAAATCTTCAAGTTCCACGTTGTTGACTGTATATTTGTAAGAACCATAGATTACTGACTATATACTAGAGAGTAAGAACTTTCAGTTTATACTAGGCGTGGGCGTTATTTCACGTCACTAGATACAGTAACTGGCTACGCGGCATGTAACCGAATCACTAGTTTCGAGTCATGTTACAAGTAGTGATTTTTGTAAATGCGTGATTATGATTACTGTTAACCATGATTATTGCAGGAGTCGACTGTCGGTCGGTCGAGCGCAAAGCGCACACGTGGCATACAACAATAAACAAAACATCGTTTGCAACAGTATTATTGTACGTTTAATTTTCATATGTAAGACCATAGACATAGAAAATAAAATGGAGTAATCTCTGTTTGTAAATAATTTCAACGGTTTGCGATTCCGGGAAACAAGTCACATTGAATTTAACTAAAATATTTTTTAAAACATTTTGGACGGAGTCATGAACTCGTTTATTCATAAAATTAAAATAAAACTAAAAAATTTGTATAAAAAAATTTTACAATTTAAATGTTTATAATATTATAAAACTTAAAAACTGTGTGTAAATAGCCAAACAAACAAACAAATTAATTGTACAGTGTAAATAAAAGTGCAAAAACAAATGATAGTGAAAACGTTGAAAAAGTGTAAATAAACTGTAAATATCAATAATCATTGTATATACAATCAAATTGACTTCTAAATACGCCTGCATTAATAATTTTATGAAAATACTAGTATTATAATAAACGCAAATCAATCATAAATACATTTAATGCAGTCAGTCCTAAACCTGAATAAAGTATGAAGGGAAGTTAATTTATTGATTTAACAGTATACAGTTACTGTATAGCTACAAACACAGATTGTGATTAAATTTATTTTCGTTTCGTGTGTAACTGTATAGTTGGTGGTGATATTTATGCAAACAATCACAGTAGCCGAATAAAATAGCCAGTTACAAAAATCACTAGTTTTGAAACAGGTGACGCCGATCAAGTCACTGATTTCGTTACGTTTCTTGAAACTGACGTAACGACGCACGTCTAGTTTATACAAAGGTATTTTTTTAATATGGCAACCTAACAATTACTGTCAACCTCCAGTCAATAAAAATACTTGTAACTTGAAATGAAACGACGGACAATATAAAGAGAAACTACGATTCTGATTAAAAACCGAAATCATAATGTTAAGAACCATAGAATACTATAATAATGAATTATGAAATGACTTGTACTGAAGTATATTAAGTAAATGATGGATGTTAGGTTGAATTAAAATAATACTAAAATCAATATCACATTAAAAATAATAAGTATTACTAAATAAAGACGATTGATTGCTAAATAATGAATAAAATTTTATAACCTAATATTTTTTAAATCTAAAAATTCCATAAGACAATTGAAAACATTTTTACTTTTTTTAGTAAAAATTAAAAGAGAACTATAGGAAGAGGAATTTTAAGATTTACCAAAGTGTTAAATAATGAAGTATGATCATATAAAGGACACGATAAGAAAATATGGTTGAGGTCACCAATATCCAAACCACATTCACATAATTGAAGAATTTTTAATATGAAGCCTAGCAAGGTGAACCAAATTACAGCAGTGACCCAAGCGCATTCTACATGACATTGATGTATGTTTCTTATTTATGGATAATTTATAAAACCAAGGCTTAGAAGGAATGATGGGTTGAATTTTGGCGTAGTGATAGCCTTTTGTCGTTTTGGTTTTGTTCCAATATTTTGACCATCTATCTCCATATACTAATTTCGTAGTTCTTATAAGGTCATAGCAATAATTATTAAATAAGAAAGTAGCCACAGACTATAGCTTGTTTAGCAAGTTTGTCAGCATATTCATTACCAGATATACCAAAATGAATCGGAATCCAAACGAGAGAAATGTTGATGTTTTGGAATTGGTATAAGAGTAGAAGTTTCTTAATTTCAAATATCAAAGGATTGCGGGAAATGTCATAGAAAGGATTACATAACAATGCTTGTAAAGAACTAAGAGAATCTGAAAATATCATGCTTGATTTTAATTTAAAAAGATAGCAATATTTTATTGATTGTAAAATGGCTAACATTTCTCCAGTAAAAACTGAAGATTCGGGAGGACTTTTAATTTTTTGAACTATTCTCCAATTTTGATGGTATTTTGCATATCCAGTACAACCTTTTGAGTTAATCTTAGAAGCATCTGTAAAAATATAATGACAATCTGGGAAATTCTTGTCCAACGTAAATACAAATTTTTTATTTAATTCAACAGAAAATTTATTTAATCCTATATGTAATATAACATTGGGTTTGAAAAATGCAACTTCAAACGAATTGGAGAAAAGAGGCAGAGTCGCCGACCTATAAATAGGATCTAGTAAGGAATTATAATGTTCATAGCTTTTAACTAGGTTAGGAGTTTCTTTATTACGCTAGTATTTTCCTGAATTAATTGAAATGTACTGAGAAAGCAAACGAATTTTCGGGAGTAATGGATGGTTTGAAAATTGAAGAGCCCGATAAAAAAGGAATCCGATAAATATTGTCGTCTAATAAAAAGTGGAGGATCACCGCATTCATCAAATCAAGGCATTGATAGGCGACGAATTCATAGCGCCTACAATTAATCTTATAGACTTGTGTTGAATGATATCTAATATTTTTAATCCTTTTTTTACTAGCTGGTTCAAGAAGAAATGAGGCATAATCTAATCGGCTTCTTGTAATTGCATTATAAATTAATTTTATAGAATATGGATGAGCGCCCCACCATACCCCGCACAAAGCTCTAAGAATGTTTATATTTTTTTTCGCATTTTTTTTGGGTATAAATGATATGAGGCATGCCGGATAATTTATTATCAAGAATTACACCAAGTAATTTAAATTGTTGAATATTTACGAGGGGATAATCAAAAAGGCGACCTTGGATTTCAGGTAAAACTCTTTTGCGCGAAAAAATTACTGTATTACTTTTATTTGGGGAAAGTTCTAATCCATGATCATCTAACCAAGAGGCCATAGAGAGGAGATCTTGTTCTATAGCATTAGCACAAGATTCTATACATTTATCATTAACATAAACTAATATATCATCAGCATATTGCAAAATTCTACACTCTGAAATAGATTGGTCCAAATCTGACGTATAAATATTGTATAATAAAGGACTTAAAACAGAGCCTTGTGGAAGGCCTTTGAAAATCTTTCGAGTATATTTTAGATCATCATCAATTTTAATATGAATATATCGATCTAGAAATAAATTGATAATCAAATTTGTAAGTTTTTTGGATATATTAAGCTTAAACATCTTTTCTCTAAGGATGTTGAGTCTGACATTATCGTAAGCAGAAGAAATGTCAAGGAAAGCAGCAAGGACCGATTCATTTCTCGAAAATGCTAGTCTAATATCTGTGGTGAAGATAGAAAGACTGTCATATGTGCTTTTACCTTTTCTGAATCCATATTGGATATTTGATAACAATCCATGACTTTCTACATACCATTCAAGACGGTTCTTGATCATATGTTCAAAGGTTTTAATTAGAGTTGAGGATAGAGCGCTCGGTCGATAAGAAGAGCCGTCGTTAGGATTTTTGTCAGGTTTCAAGATAGGAATAATTACTTGAGTCCGCCAACAGTCAGGAACAAAGCCTATGTCAAACAAAACGTTAATGATATTTAAATAGTAGGATAAAATTTGATCATTACATTTGGCAAGTAGTGAATATGGAATACCGTCTAAACCAGGAGCTGAATCTTGAACGTGAGAAAGGACAAGCTTTAATTCATATAAAGAAAATGGACGTTCTAAGGGATCAAAAAAAGAATCACATGGAATAATTTGAGGAAGCTCCTCTCTCAAAGGAGCAGAAGAGGGGGCAAGTTTATCTAGAAAAGTGTTTATAGATTGAGAGGGAATGGCACCACTGTAAGAACAAGATGAAAAACAACAGCGAAATTTTTTAATATTACGCCAAACAACTGATGAAGGTATTGAAGGAGAAATTGAGGAACAAAAGGCATGCCAACGTGTTTTTTTTGTGCGAAGAGTATTTTTAGTCACTTCTTGTACACGTTGAAGGTATGAATAGTTTTCCGAACTCATGTCCAATTTATATTGTTTTTCGGCTTTTTTCCTATTACGAATGGCCTCAGTACATTCAGAATCCCACCATGGAGGGGAGGGCCTACATTTATTATTTAGAGTTTTAACAGGAATTGTTTGATCTGCTGCATTTATAAATGCGTTTGTAAATGCTTCAACAACAGAAGTTATATTATTATCAGAAATAGGAGCGATTTTTAGAATTTCATTGTAAAGAAAAATATTGTACAGGTTCCAGTCTGCTCTGTCTAATTTGTATTTAATACATGGTTACTTATATACTTTTATATATAGGAAAGTAAAGCTTAATAATATACTCTTCGTGTTGAATAAATTGAATGTTGGCGACACTGGTAGTTTTGCCGATAGCCGTTGTGTCAAATGACATTTGAAAACAATGGAAGTATGGAGTGTAAAAGTAAATGCAAGTGATAGTTTTTCTGTTTATTATAATTTAAATTATTTTTTCATCTGACGACTATAAAATGTTACTATGTAATTACATAGCATAACTGAGTAATTAGTGCTTAATAAAAATGTATCCTGTTATCTATAGAGGATAGGATTTTTTTAAATAAGTCTTGTGTGGATCGCAAGATGACCACCCCAGATGTTAAATGGATAGAAAAACTAAGAATAGAAAATTTAGATCAATTCTTCACCCTAGTGCGAATGCATCTATCGTTTGTTGTCGACATAAATACTGACGAGTGAGTTATAATAAATAATAATAAGTACTGGAAAGAATTTATATAGAGCTTATTTTTATTTTCTCTATTACAGTGTTGATTGTTCAACTGATAAACCTAAGCAATTTCGATGGAATTTTCACAAAAAGGCTAAAGGTTCGAATTCTAGTCAAAACAATGTAAATAGCACGAAGAACACCACAGAAGTAAATTCGATTACTGAAGAAGGTATTCTTAGATTAAATGAGCTAATAGACTTTTTGGCCAAATCGGAAAGTAAGTTACCATTTTTATTTCATTTTATTTTTTAATTTAAAGTATAACATAAGTGTAAATTCAACTATTATAATTTTCATGTCATTATAAAGAAAAACATACATATTGTTTTTCATGCAGTATGCTGGAACACATGCATAATAAAACATAGATAATATGTTCTTGAATCATTAAGATATGCTTAAATATGAAGGAATGGGTAATTCTTTAGTAATCTGCTGCACGAATTATTGGTCGCCGAGTGGGCGGGTAGATGGGGGGGAGGAGTAGGAACCTCCCCCTAAAATAATTAAGTGCCGGACCCCCCCCATTTTTTATGAATTTTTTTAGTAATGCCGCATGAATATATGGTCACCGAGTGCGGGGGGGCTGGGGTAGGAACCTCGCCCTGAAAAGGGGAAGTGCCGGAAACCCCCCTTATTTTTGTAAAATCATAACTTAATTTTTTTATACAGGAATATTGACGCAGTTATTTCTGCAACGGCTTAGGCACTGCGGGAAGTGCAGTCCCTTTTGCCCTTGCGTAGCAAATCACAGGCACCCATGCTTGCCTCCGCAGCTTCGGCTTGTTGGTCTCCTTCAGCGACCAGCCTCAGCCGCTATGGCTCGCTTAGGTGCCTGCGATTTCCTACAGCGGGCGGGGGGCTGCTCTCCCTCCATGTCTACGGCTTTACAAAAACAGGGGGTAGGGCAGACGAGACTACGTCGAGTTGGGGTGTGCTAATTCGGTTTTAGAATCGATTCGACCTATTTTATCTACAAAGTCTAGTTGCTCTTAACTCTGCTACTAGAGTGGTAAATGAAATGGTATGTGAATAGTTATAAATTTTGTTTTCGGATAAACCTCTTGACTGCTCTCCACTGCAACTCAATTTGTTGTATATAAGTCCCATCTCCACCACAACAAATGAATTGTCTGGGTCTGAGTGATTAACTATTTTATGAGTGTATCTGTGTTAAAAAAACAAACTGACATATTTGCGTTTCGTTATATGTAATTTAAAGTGAAATTTATTTTTATTGTAAGTAATAAATTCAAAAGGCATTTCCGAAATCCAAAAACAGTGTAAATGGTTCGAGCTTAACCCTGACAATCCTCCTAAATTGAAAACATAATTAAAAAATCAAGTATCAGAAATCTACTTCATAATACGAGAACAAATTGACTTTTACACTATTTTTGGTGAAATTTGTTTTTATCGTCATTAATTCAAAATGCATTTCCGACATCTTAAAATAGTGTAGTAGGTTTAAGATTAACCCTAACAAGCCTCCTAGACTAAAACATTATCGAAATCAAGTACCGGATGTCTAGCCAACTCGATATAACCTCAAAACTTTAACTATCGATATCTCGAAAAATAAAGATTTCCGGCATAAAAAGCACCTAAATGGTAATCAATAGCATCATTGCCTGTCAACTAAAGCTAAAATAATCATTTAAATCGTGCAGCAGATTACTAAAGCCGACCCCATATGTTTCTTTTATTCCATTATTTTAATCATTGAGATATAGTCTAATTCATTATTTGTTAACATGCCTAATCATAATGTTTATTGTTGCTGTTTAATTTTTATATTAGGTCAAAGTACCTCTTACACATAGCTTTTATCAATTTTAACAGTTATTTCAAGTTTAAACAATTATTTATTTCCAAATTCCAAAGACACAATTGGTAAAATTTAAAAAAATTATAAAACCGACTTAAATATAAATAAAATGAGAACATTATCAATGTATGTAGTCGAAGTAAATTAAATATTCATTATTTAGGATAGCCCAAAAACTGCTATTCAGATCTTGATTAAATTTATATGTTCCACATGAGAAACCAAATGAGAAGCACCAGCTTTCAAATAAAAAAAGAATCATCAAAATCAGTTCACCTAGAAAAAAGTTCTGAAGTTACACATAATAAAAATTATGGCTGAGTAGAGAACCTCTTCCTTTTTTGAAGGCGGTTAAAAATATTTTTCCCTTTTTGTGGATATAGTTAGAAACTTGTGTTTAGTTTGACCTATGTTTGCGTTGACATAATATTTTTTATATGATCTGAATACAATGTAAATGTGCTTGTATTTTTGTTAATATACTTGTGCTCTTAATGTAGGCTATAATCTCATTAGTCCTTCTTACTAATATTACATAGAAGTAAAAAAAGTAAAGTTACAGGCTATATATGTCCCACTGCTGGGCACAGGCCTCCCTTCATTTCTGAGAGGGTTCAAGGGCAAGGAAGTGTCTGCCGCACTGCCCCAATGCGTGTTGGAGAACTTCACATGTCTTCGAAATACTTTTTTTCTTATTCCTCAAACAATCAGGTTTCCTCACAATGTTTTCCTTCACCGCCGAGCCATGGTAGCTAAGATGGTTAACGCTCGCTGTAAAAATAACAGAACACTAGTAACCTGTGTTAGATCCCTGCCGGCACGTTGGTTCGGCGGTGAATATTACATATTTTAACATATTTAATTTTGAAGTAAAACTTCTCTAGGCGCAACTTGTGGGGTAACTTACACCTTTTTACCGACAGTGACAGTAATTATAAAGACAGCAATTGACTATAGTATTTTGTGAGTATAATATATGTTATATAAATATATTGTACTTATATTTATATCTATTCTAATTTTATATACCTGGTTCAATATTAATAATAATTAATTTTTAGAAAAATATTTAAAAAAAATCACAAGAAGATAGAATATTTTGATTTATAATTTTAAATATAATACAGTTCTATCACTGCAAAATCTCATTTCTTCTATTTATTGTGATCAATTGAAAATAAATAACCATAAAAACTCTTGGCTATGTGAAGAAGCAACTTCCATCTCCCATAATACCTTGTTGGAAATTAAAAATAAATTGAAAAATTTTTCAAGCAAAAATTGGATACTATTAAAGAGTACATGATCGGTAATAAACTGTGGGAATAGGGCCATCGCTATGATGTTTCTAAATTTTTTCATATTTAATTATACAACATATTAAACTGGAAATGAATGTTTAAAAAAGTATATCTGGGGTTCTTGCTCGTTTTTCCCAGGATAAAGGTTTTTACCAAACTAGTGGTAAAAGCATAAATGACTTAAGTACTGACTAATAAGTATTCTCGAAAAATCGTTCTGTTCTATATTATTAAACATTGCTGGTAATGCTATAATGTCCCCACTAGCCACTACAGTTTAGTAGTAATAACAATGCTTGTGTTACAAGTGGTTCATGACAGTAGCTAAATGATGATTCAAACCCATAACTTTTTGATTTCACAGTCTGTTCCCTATTATTTGGCCACTTTTGCTTGAATGATCAATTTTATTTTTCAGATGTGACCCAAGAAGGAATATTTAGACGTACAGGTTCTCTTAGCCGTCAACAAGAGTTACGTCAGCTGTTGGTAACTGGCTCCAACCTAGGTTTAGATGAGGGCAAATTCTCGGTGCATGATTGTGCCTCTGTTCTAAAAGGGTTCCTTGCAGAATTACCACAGCCTTTGTTAATGGATCAATATTATCAAACCTATTGCACTCTAGCTGGTGAGTTAAGTTGGGATAAATTTACAAATTGGTGAAAAAAACTGTGTTAATTCTGGTGAGCAGTCATTATTATTCTTGGATGAGAAATGGGTGATGGTTTCCTATAAAATAAATCAACAACTTTTTGGACCTTACAGTTACAATGATAGGCGTACGTAAATTGTATCAAAAAACATGTAATAAATATCCCCCGTACTGAATTTTGGTCAAGACATCCAGTTTAAATTAGCCATTTGTGCACGACAGGCTTATAGTGCACGATTGTGTGCACAAAACTGGTGTATTCTATTCCCTGACTCTCATAGACTGATGGGATGGAAACTTGGCAAGACCAGAGAGAGGTCAGGTGCAGGATAATATACTTAATCATCAGTACCCCTACTTTGATTTAGCAAATAAGACTAGATAGAGAAGAAGACAAAAAATGTTGTTAAATATATAATCTAATCATTTTTCTACATCGTAGAGCCATGCTGCAGCTTTATTAGTTGTAGCATGAATGGGTCGGCTCCACCGGGGTAGGAACATGCTCTTAAATACCAGAATACCAGCGTAAAATGTCACCTAAAGGCTGCTGTGTTTTGTTTGGTGAGTGTAGAGAACTGGGCCCTTTTTTACTGGATACAAGGCATTTCATCTTAGTTCTCAGGGGTAACAACACATCTACATGTTGATTCAAAATCGAGGATAAATGTAGGTGGCTGTGGGCCACAGCGTCCACTTACCTTCGGTAGGACTCTGTGCTCTTTTTCACCCTTATTCTATAAAAAAAATTGTAAGAATTTCTGATTGAGAGATTGAATTTCATTTGAATAATTTCTCAGTTTGCCTTTTCTTTACTTTTGGTTTTGATCTTAGCTTCACATAAATTGTGAGTTTAGCTAGTTCTACCTATTTTTAGGGTCTGTGTGGTAAATAATATGAAAATAAAATAAACTAAAAGTAATAGAATAAAGTGAATACTATATATAATATAAAGGACAATAAAAAGGTGGAATGTGCTTTATGCATATATTTTTATTTACATTCTTATATACTTATTTTTATTAACCTACAAGTGTTAAATTTTACAAGCCCTGTAGATTTTTTTTGATAAACGCAATTTACACGAACTTGTAAAAACTTTCTTGTAAAGTGTAACTTGTGAACAAGTAGACTTGTGACTTTTGATAAACAAGGCATAGATCTTGATTAAATTTATATGGGACTGACTACATGAGATGCTTTTAAATAAAAAAAATGATCAAATTCTGTTAACCTAGAAAATATAGTCGAATTGAGAATCTCCTCCTTTTTTGAAGTCTACTGAAAAGAAGAATTCGACAAACATGTTCAAAGTCCATTTGATGCTGAGTGGATGTTGTGGCTTATAGACACCTTTGCCCTGTTTATCAAAACTTACAAGCCTTGTATTACAAGCAATTTTCCTGTAAAAAAACTAATTATTACAAATATGTGTTTATCAAAACTACACATGTAAATTACAAGTTACAAGGGTCATTATTTATTTCACAAGTATATTTTTACACTTGTATTCATGATTTTTTTCATCAAAAATCCCTTGTAAGTTACAATTTGTAGAAAATCATAGCAAATCTAAAGAGTGTCCGGCGACTCTCCATTCCGTCTTACAAGTGTCACAAGTAGTATTGTAATATTTTTTAAATTTGATTATCCTTTTTAAAATGTGGTCAAGTGACTTAAGCGATGATGAAAATATTAGAATAATGGCACCAAGAACATATAGAACTAGAATTGAATACGGTCATCTGGAGACGACCTATGAATTTAATGAAAGGTTTCAATTTAAAACTGAAAAATTGGAACAATTAATTAACCTTTTGGGTTGCCATTTAGAAAGAAATACAAACGGAAACCACGCCTTGTCAACTAAATTAATATTACAAATAGCTCTGCATTGGTTGTGAACCGGAGCTCAATACCGTGCTGTTTCTGACATGCATGGTGCAACAAAAGGCAGCGTATGCAATGCAGTCCACAGTGTTGTAGCAGCCATCAATACTAATAATGTTTGAAAACTATGTTAAATGGCCGAATAATATGCCGGAGGTAGTACAGAAGTTTCATATGTTGAAAGGAATGCCATTAATTTATGGCTGGCTAGATGGTAACTTGATAAAAATTGACGCCCCACATCAACATGAAGAAGTATTCGTAGATCGACACGGAAATCATTCCATTAAGTGTTTGGTTGTGTGCGGTCCTGACAAAAAGTTTTACTATTCCTATGCTAATTAGCCCGGAAGCACCCATGACAGTAGAGTTTCAATAAACAGTCAGTTATATGACCAATTTGGAAATGGCTGGAGACCTATTGCACAAGGGGTTCTCCTTGGCGACTCTGCATACCCTCTGAAGGAATGGCTCATTACTCCTATAGTAATAGATGGCAACAATGAAGCAAATATCAGATTTGCAAATGCTTTTGGAATTCTGACAGAAAAGTTTCCTTGCTTAAATTATTTAAGAGTTCAACCGAGAATTGCTTGCAATATTTTTAATTGCTGCGTGACTTTGTGTAACTTTATTAGGGAAACCAAAAACGAAGACGAAGAGGTCTCGAATAACGAAAACTACTCTGATTCTGATAATGTATTTGAAGGCGTCCAAGATAATAGCGAACGAATAGTCTCGAAAGAATAATCAGTTATTTTAGAAATTAGTAATATTTAATATATATTAGATTAAATGTAAAATTAAGCTATACCTACTAACAAAAAGTCATGAAAACAAATGACTAAATTGTATTACGTAGGGAATCGTAAAAATATTACACTATATCACCATTGTTTGAGTACCATCTTCATTTAAAATTATATTGTGGTTCGTAATTAATAAAATTTGATTTGAGTTATCCTGAATATAGCCGCGTTTAATTGTATAGGCTTTGTCAGACAGGACGCGTATTTTAGCGCGCATTAGGGCGCTGACTCGATGACACGGCGCCGCCATTTCGCCATTCGCCAAAGCGTAGTGCAGATCGTTAGCAGTGTGAAGAGTTTGTTCGTTATGGACATGTCGAGTGATTCAGATGTGGAAGAATTATTACTTTTATATGCTTTATCACGGTCACAGAGAAAAATAGTATGGGTGCACGACATCAATCAAAAGAGAAAGGATTTAGGAGAATATCATCGTTTGTGCCGTGAGCTTGCATCACGTGAAGATCGTTTTTTTACATACTTTCGTATGTCTCAAGATTTATTCGAAGAACTACATGAACTGCTCATCCCAAAAATAAGCAAATGTACCACAAACTGGAGGACGCCTATTTCTACAAGAGAAAGACTTGTAATCTGTCTAAGGTAAGAAATATTTATTTTTTTATATACATGTTCATTGCGTTATTATTATGAAAATCAATCAAAATCAGCTGAGTTGTAATCAGATGTCGATGCTCCAAAATTAGTTACATGTAGAATATCGATTTCGCGTAGTGGTTGACGTAGCTGCTCAGGCTGTTGCAGGTATGATGAAGTACTGTTAGATAAATCTATAACAGCTACTGGGGATGAATCTTCGGGCACAGAATTGGGTACTGCATAGCAGACGGAGTCTTCGGTACTAATAATGGAATAATATGGTGAATTCAATAAATATACGTTTTCTTGCAGTTCCTCTGTTTCTATGCTTGCAAATAACTTTGCTAGTTCTACTTTGGCTTTTATCTGTTTGTCTTTGGAAAAACTTTTAAATGTTTGGGCATAACTTTGGAATAGGTGATCTATGGCATCATACTCTTGTTTTTTGTATTTTGAAGAAAATTTATAACTTTATCCATTTCGCTGTCAGTTTTTTTTATTTTCTTAGCTCGTGAACTATTTGTGTCATTTGTTTGGGGCGTCTCTAGCGGAGGTGTTTCTGGCGGGGGTGCGCTTTGTGTTCTTGGTGGAGGTGTCTGTGGTGGAGGCGTCTCTGGAGATTGAGTTTCTATAGCTGACGATGTTTCTGGTGTAGGTTCTCGAATATTTGAAGTTGTTTCTCGATCTGTCAGAGTTGAGTCAAGGAACTGTAACTGGGAAGCCCAAGGCCATTTTGTAAATTTTTTTGCAGCTTGTCCCGTAGTACCTGCAACCTCTTTTTTGTATCTCATATAATTGTCCCTCAAGCTCTTCCATTTTTTTTTAGCTACTTCACCTGTAAAATAAACATAAATTGTATTATTTTGTTTCAGGTACTTAGCTACGGGTGATTCACATAGCCTTTTCCTTCCGAGTAGGTCGTTCAACAGTCGGTGGTATTGTAAAAGAAGTCTGTACAGAAATCTGGAATACATTACAACCAGAATATATGCCATCGCCTACTGAAGAGACATGGAAACAATCAGAGAAGGGTTATAGGGAAACCTGGAACTTCCCGAATTATTTCGGTAGTATTGACGGGAAACATGTCTCTATAAAGTGTCCCAAAAATAGTGGATCAGAATATTTTTGCTACAAGAAGTTTTTTTCTGTAGTTCTTCTTGCTATAGTCGATCCATGTTACAAATTCACCGTCATAGATGTCGGTAGTTACGGGCGGCATAGTGATAGTGGTATATTCAAGAACTCAATATTTTATCGGCAATATATCCACGGAAAATCTCTGCTGCCAGATAAACCACTTCCAGGCACCGAGGAGCCCGTACCTCATGTACTTATCGGCGACGAAGGTTTTGCTTTAAAAACATATTTGATGCGTCCATTCCCAAGAGCCTTAGCTACACAAGACGAAAGAAAAACAAATTTTAATAAAAGACTTTGCAGGGCACTTCGGGTGGTTGAAAATACGTTCGGAATATTAGCACAAAAATGGCGCATTTTTTTACGACCTATTGACTGTGATGTGGACACAGCAATTGATATTATTAAAGCTGCATGTTGTTTACATAATTACTTACGAACAAAACAAGGTACAGCGATATTAACTCCGGAGTCGGAAGACGAAAACGTACCTATGCGTGCTCTAATAACTCATCATCCAACAAATAGAAGATCAAC